CAGGATCTGAGGCAGGTACATCTGGCTATCAGTCTGGTGCGTGCCCCTGATTCATAGTCCAAGACTTACACGATGAGCTGCCCCTTCCTGTGCCATTCAGCAGCTTGATTGAGTCTCTCTTTATTTATTTTTTGTTGTCTATTCTATTTCGGACAGTAGGATGGATTTATTCTTTTGTATATTCTACTAGTTGCCCACAACTTGTGACACCAGGTCTTGACACTCACATTAGTAGACGTTTCTTTTGGGTTGTATAATCATTATCGAATGTTGCATATTATCACCTGTTTTGATTGAAAATTAAGATATGTTTTAACTGTTTTGGGTAAGTAAAATAAGAATTTACTAATACTTTCGCGTTGTCTTGCCTGACAATGGTGTTGGGTGCCATCACGATCTGTTATGGAAATGGGTCATGACAATTAGTTTAAGGAAAAATAACAAAGAGTTGGAACAACTAGAGGAAAATTGGCTCTAGATTGGAAATATCCATACATGGTAACAAGGGTACTGCCAAAAAGAGTGTTGTACTTGGAAAACATCGAAGGAAATGTCCTGAACAACTGTCAATGCAAATGCAGCCAAAAGGTACTATGTTGAATCCTCTATATAACAAATGTTCCCCGATTAGGATGAAGAAGGTTTTTATTCTCGCTACCCAAACACTACTAACCATTTGCAAACCATTTGAGCTGGTTACTTTTCTTTGATTACCCTCTTTAGAACCTGAAAGTGTTATTGGAAAAAGAAATTCAAAAAAAATGAGATGAAAAGTGAAAAAAAGGAGGAGAAAAAGAAAGATACAAAAAAAAGGAAGAAAAGACCAAAAAAAAAAACAAAAAAAAGAGAGAAAAAAGGAAAGGAAAAAGAAAGAGAAAACAAAACAAAACATAAAAACAAAAGAAAATAAAAAACAAAGTTTCTTGAACTACGTTCGACTTGATTCCGAAAGGATATATAGGTAGCCTCTCTTTGGGGTTCAGTCACACCAAAATAAAAATCCACATTTCCCCCAAAGTTGAAACTGGGGCAGATTTTATAATGGTTCGGCGATGATCCCGCCTGAATGGTTCCAAAGTTGTAATTCAGTCCAAATCATTTTTACCCAAATCCTTTCAAGTCCTTCCGATCAATCGGCGAGAATGTCCAAGGATCGGAGAATGCAGCTACTTGGATTTGATATAACAAAATGAGAGAAATAAAATGAGTGTCTTATTGGTGAAAACCGGGCACCGTAAGGCCATGGTAAGCAAAGAAATAAAATGAGAGAGTCTTATTGGTAAAAACCCACACGGGCACCGTGAGACAACAGTAAGTAGAGAAATTACAAATGAGAGAGTCTTGTTAGTGAAAACTCACAAAGAGCACGATTAGGCGATGGTGAGAAGGGAAATAAGAGAGGTCAGCTCGTGAAAACCCGCAAAGGGCGCCCATGATCGAAAAGAAGATCCTCACAACCATCGGCATCAACAGAGTCCTGACAAGGTTTCTCGATTTTGAGGCAAAAGTTGTGATGAATTTCTGAGAGTTGGACGGTTTACATAGATCAAGCATCCAGTCCAAAAGGCATATCATGTTGATTGAAGTCCACATGTACTCCAGATAAGTCCTTCTTTCCTTTCCCCAAAAGGGACACATCTTGTTTAAACTCATTCTCCATTCCTTTGTTTGTTTTCTTTCAATCCCTTTCAGTCTAACTATATTCCGAAACTAAGACTAAGAAGAGATAGCAAAATTGATTTACAGGGCTTTCGTTTGATACGAGCTCATGTGCAAAAAGGCACCCAGCCTCGTTAGGGGCATCAAATCGACCTCGACTGGCCATGGTGGACGATGCTTCAAATTCAAAACTCTCGGAAGGAGAAAATCAAATTGAAGTGCCTATAAAGACAAATGAAGTTGAAAAGGTTGAGTCCCATGTAGCTAACCGTCTCGGCAAAGGTTTGAAAAGTCAAGGTACCCAAATGATCTGAAATTGAAGTTGGAAGAAAGAAGCCAGAAATGAAAGGCCTATGAAGGAGAAATAAAGTTTTAAAAGGTTAAGTCCCACGCGGCTAGCCTTTGCGACAAAGTGTGAGGAGCCAAAAGTCTCCCAATGCTCCGAAGTTTTTTATAAAAAAAAAAAAGAAGAAAAAAAGAGAGACAAAAAAGGGAAGTCAAAAGAGAAAGGCCTATAGAAGCAAAATAAAGTCGAAAAGATTGAGTCCCATCGACCAATCGTCATTGCAAAATCTGAAAAAGCTAGAGCTTCTCTAAGGTTAGAAATGTTGCCGGTATTCAGGAAGCAACCAGTTGCAGTTGAAAGGGCCGAGATCATTGAAATAATCAAGGCCACAAAACCAACCACCATTTCAAACTAACAATTGTTCTTTGTTTGAAAACATGAAAAAGGTGCAATCCAAAGCAATCTTGCAAGAAGCAGGTGCAACCAAAAAGAAACTGCGCAAGGGCTAGAAACAGCTTTGCAGTAACAATCCATAAAGGGAAGTCCCCTCCAAAATTCTTTCCCTCATTTACTTATTCTATGAAATAAAAGAAAAAAAAAGAACAAAAATGAAAAAAAAAAGATAAGAAGAAAAACTTCAAAAACATGGCAGCCTAGGGTCCCCAATCTCTAGTTACGTTTTTTTCCAATATAGGGTCTCCGCTCCCTAGTCGTTTTTCCAATATAAGGTTTCCACTACCTAGTTGATTTTATTTTAGGCATAGGGTCTCCACTCCCTAGTTGATTTTATTTTAGGCATAGGGTCTCCACTCCCTAGTCTGCTTTTCCAATATAGGGTCTCGACTCCCTAGTTTAATTTATTTTAGACATAGAGACTCCACTCCCTAGTCACTTTTCCAACATAGGGTCTCCATTCCCTAATTGAAGTTATTTTATACATAGGGTCTCCACTCCCTAGTCACTTTTCCAACATAGGGTCTACACTCCCTAGTTGAATTTATTTTAGACATAGGGTCGCCACTCCCTAGTCTGCTTTTCCAACATAGGGTCTCCACTCCCTAGTCACTTTTCCAACATAGGGTCTACACTCCCTAGTTGAATTTATTTTAGACATAGGGTCGCCACTCCCTAGTCACTTTTCCAACATAGGGTCTACACTCCCTAGTTGAAGTTATTTTAGACATAGGGTCGCCACTCCCTAGTCTGCTTTTCCAACATAGGGTCTCCACTCCCTAGTTGAATTTAGTTTAGACATAAGGTCTCCACTCCCTAGTTGAATTTATTTTAGACATACGGTCTCCACTCCCTAGACATTTTTCCAACATAGGGTCTTCACTCCCTAGTCTGCTTTTCCAACATAGAGTCTCCACTCCCTAGTTGATTTTATTTTAGGCATAAGGCCTCCACTCGCTAGTCTGCTTTTACATCATAGGGTCTCCACTCCCTAGTTGATTTTATTTTAGGCATAGGGTCTCCACTCTCTAGTCTGCTTTTCCAACATAGGATATCCACTCCCTAGTTGAAGTTATTTTAGGTATAAGGTCTCCACTCCCTAGTCACTTTTCCAACATACGGTCTCCACTCCCTAGTTGAATCTATTTTAGACATAGGGTCTCCATTCCCTAGTCACTTTTCCAACATATAGTTTCCACTCCCTAGTTGATTTTATTTTAGGCATAGGATCTCCACTCCCTAGTCACTTCTCAAACATAGGGTCTCCACTCCCTAGTAGAAGTTATTTTAGACATAGGGTCTCCACTCCCTAGTCTCTTTTTCAACATATGGTCTCCACTCCCTAGTTGATTTCATCGTAGATGTAGGGCTCCACTCCCTAATCTCTTTTCCTCAAGGATACACAATCCTGATTTTATTGCTTTCAATAAAGAAGTAGTTTAGATTTTTGTTACAATAATTCACGAAATTTTCCTAGTAAAAACTGGGGCAAAAAAATTTCATTCGTTTGTTTGTTTTGGTGCCTAAGCAGGTTTTTACCTTGAGGCACAAGTTTCGAAGTGACCAAAAGAAGAAGTCTCGATTCAAATAAAAGAAAAGAAAAATAAGAAAAAGAAGTGAATCCAAAGTGCAGAAGAGGAGAAAAGATGTGGATTGCTCAAGACATAATTGAGGTCACAAGCTCTACATGTCCCGTTTTGATCTGAAAAAGCTGAAGAAGATTGAACCAACACCTGCAATTAACAAGCATCAAGATTCAGATCAGAGTCCACATGAAGAACCAACCAAGACTCAAGATCAAGCTTCAGAACACTCATAGATAGGAATCTTGTAACTCGTAGCTGATAAGCTTAGCTAGTCTTTTTCATTTTTGATTTTGATGTAATAATAGGACCGCAGACCGGAACCTCGACGGAACGGAACCTTACTCGGCTCTCCACCTCGGTACACTCCGTCACCTCATTCACTTCTGAACTACACGTGACCTGATTCCTCTATAGCCAAGGATATGTAGGCAGCTCAGATACCAGGGCTCGGTCACAATCTTTTACCCATATTTCTTTTCTTTTGAATAAGTGTCGGGTCAGAAATCAATTACGTCGCTTACTTGTTTCTTTGCTCAAAAAACAATTCGTGTTTCCAAGCAAAGAGGGCAGCTGTAAGCACGTAATTTTTTACCCGCACAATTTTTAAGTTTGTTGTAGTATTTTAAATATTTACTTGAGTTATTATAGATTTTTAATCCATTTTTTACTACAACTTTATTAGTTTAATTTTATTGTTTTAGTATTTAAAAATTAAAATAAATTCAAAAATAGTTTCAATTTTTATGTTTAGTTTTATTTTAGTAGTTTATTTTTGATTAATTAAGAGTGATTTTTATATTTTTTATAAGTGCATTACATTGTTTTAGTCTTTCTACATATTTAAGCCCAACAAGACAAAGACCTATTTTTTCCAACCCATTAACTCACTTAAGTACAAGATTTAATCATAGCCATCGATTTCCCTTCAATCTAATGGCAGATGTCAATTCTTATACCCATATTTAAACCCAATTGTAAATAAACTCTACCAATCTACAAATCTCCTAATTCCTAAACACAAAAAAGCTGGAAAACGACAGTTGCTCCCTTTCCTTCAAAAACTCCCAACGGCTGGACCTCCACCCACGGAAAAATCCCAACGACACACGTACATATAAAGGGACGTGACAGTGAGGGAAAAGGGATCTGAGGATTAAAAAAAAGAGATTAAGAGAATTGGGGGGAAACGGCAAAGAAGGGGATGAGAATTGAACAAAGAAATGGAGGAAACAATTGAGTGGGGAGCAGACTTTAAAAAGAAAAGAGGAGCAGCAGTTGGCAACAAAAAAAAAAACGCACCTATCTCCTTCTCCGAACAAAATGGAGTAGCTTTTTACACCAAAGTTTCAGCCACAAAAACTCCACAAATCTCCATTAAAAACAGCCCCTTTGCACACACAAAATGTCGGAGTTGCCGGCGAGATAGGTTTTTCGTCGAGGTTCGATTGAGATCATTGCTCTTTTTTTACGGTTTGAGGTTTGAGTTCCAATTTGTTCATAAACGTCTGACTCTTAACTCTATTTGTTATTCAATTTTCAGATTTGTTTCTGGTGATGCCATCTATGGAATCTTTGTTCGATTAGCTATCATTTTAGTTCTTTATTGATTTTCTCTGTTTCATTAAGGAGGACTAGATTATCGTTTGGTTTATGTAATTTTTTGAGTAGTAGGTTTTACGTGGCTAAATTTGGTTAAATGCTTAGGCTCGGAATAACTCCTGATGTTACTACGTTTAATAAGATTTTATGTATGCTTTGTAAGAAGGGGGTGTCCAAAAAAATTAAAGGTTTCTTTTCTTAATAAGATTATGAAAAGTGGACTGTTTACAAATCTTTTTTGCATATAATGTCTCGAGCTCTAGTATAGAGTATAGAAATTGGAATTGGAAGGTGGTGTTGTATATTCAGTATTTCTGTTTAACTGAGTTTGGAAAATGTATTGTACTGGATCGGAGTGTATGATTCCAAATTTCTCTTATAAAGGAATTGTGGAACCTTTTAACTGAGTTTAGAAAATTTATGGCTTTCGTTGTTAATTAATTTTCTTTACCATCGGCCCTTGGTTTATCGACGCACCCCATGGATGCATTTCACTCTAGCTTCCAGGATTTAAATCGTTAGCGCAAAAACTCTACACTTTGGTTCTGTAAATGTGATTTCACTCATAATTGATTCCAATAAATAATTTTCATAACTCTTGGCCTTACAATAATCTCAAACTTAAAAATAATTAAACATCCGTAGTATGTTTTAGGCACGCAATTAAAATTATTACAATTACGAGTAAGGTTCCCGTGACGTGGTTATGATACCTAATTTTTAATTAGATTAAAGTAGGAGCAACTTTAGTTTGCAGAAATACAAATCTTTTCTTTTAAAATAAATTAAGGTGTGCCATATGCAAACAAAATTCATAAGTTACGGCCCTCACATTAATATTAACTTAGTATAGAAAATATTTTTGAACATTAGTTTGCTTTAGGCACGTTTATAATAAAATCATCATGGCTACAGGTACAGTTCCCGTGACGCAGTTGTGATATATAATTTCCAAATCCGGGGGTACATTTATGTGACCCGGCCACAACAACTAATAATGTTAATAATTAAACACGTTGTAGATCGTGAGTACGGTTCCCGTGATATGATTTGCAATGTCTATCAAACAAACAGATGTACAACAATCGTAACTTGTTCCAGATTAATTTCATAAACTAATTAAAAGGGTTTACAAAGCTAAAAAGGCACAATAGATTAAAACATGTAGTAAATCAGATAATAGGCCAATTATTAATAGTTTAAGTGACCGTGCGAGAACCACAAAACTTGGGAATGCCTAGCACCTTCTCCCGGGTTAATAGAATTCCTTATCTAGAATTTCTGGTTCGCAGACTTTAAAATAAAGTCGAAATTTCATCGATTTGGGATTTTAAAATAAAATGGTGTCTTGGAACACCATAAATTATTCCAAGTGGCGACTCTGATAAATAAAATAAAATAATCCCATTCGGTTAATGTTACTTTAAATTGGAAAAAACTCCCATATACTCTCGAGTGTAAAAAGGAGGTGTTACATTGATTTTGCTATTTTTCTTTTCAGTTCTAATAATGCGGACTTAAATAACATGACATGCTTGTGGACTTCATGCCCAGATCCTAACACGATGTCTAACTGTGAAATAATGAATCAAGAACCAGAATATGACGAAGATGAGGCTTTTAGGGAAATAAATCGAGAACTGGAACAATTTGAGAATAAACCTAAGCCAGACTTAAATAAAACCAAGCCAGTCAATTTGGGTAGTCCAGAAGAGGTCCGGGAAACCATGATAAGAATTCACGCTGATGAAAGAACTAGAGATGCATTGATCCAACCTTTGTTTGAATTCAAAGACTTGTTTTCATGTTCCTATAATGATATGCCACGACTGAGTGTTGATTTGGTAGTGCATAAATTTTCAACTTATCCCGGTTATCCACCAGTCCAACAAAAGCACAGAAAGTTTAAACGGACATCAGTGATAAGATCAAAGAAGAAGTCACCAAACAGTTGAAAGCTGGTGTGATCTGAGTAGTCCGATACACCACCTGGTTAGCTAATGTGGGTTCCAATGCTGAAGAAAAACGGGAAAACCCGAGTGTGTATTGATTATCGGAATTTGAACAAAGAAAGCCCAAAGGACAACTGTCCATTGCCAAACATCCACATTCTTGTTGTCAATTGTGCCAAACAAGAGATACAGTCTTTCGTGAATTGTTATGCTACGTACCACCAGGTTCTGATGGATGAAGAAAACGCAGAAAAGATGGCTTTCACCACACCTTGGAGCATTTACTATTACAAAGTCATGTCGTTTGGTTTAAAGAACGTCGGGGCAACTTACATGAGAGTTATGACTGCCATCTTCCATGTCATGATGCACTAGGAAATTTAGGTGTATGTGGATGATGTGATCATTAAATCCAAAACACAGGAAGACCATGTGTGGGATCTGAGAAAGTTCTTTGAGCGTCTGCACAAGTACGACTTGAAATTGAATCCATCTAAATTTGCATTCAGAGTTCCATATGGGAATCTTTTGGGGTTTATAGTTAGTCGGAGGGGTATCGAGTTAAATCCAACAAAGATAAAGTCTATTCGGGATTTGCCACATCCAAGAACCAAGAAAGAGGTCATAAGTCTGCTAAGAAGATTGAATTATACCAACAGATTCATTGCTCAACTGACTACCATGCATGAACCCATATTGAAGCTATTGAAGAAAGATGCGGCAATAAGATGGACGGGTGAGTGTCAAAAAGCTTTCGACAAAATCAAAGAATATTTGTTGAATCCGCCAGTGTTGGTTCCACCCGAGCCAGGGAGACCTTTGTTCTTTTACCTTATAATTCTGGAAAATTCTTTCGACTGTTTCCTAGGACAACATGATGTGACCTGGGAAGAAAGATCAAGCCATATACTATTTAAGCAAGAAGTTCACTAGTTATGAAGCCAAGTACACTTTGTTAGAAAGAACTTGTTGCGCCCTAACTTGGGTCGCCTAGAAACTTAGACATTATCTGTTGGCCTACACCACATATCTTATAACTAGAATGGATCCTCTGAAGTACATATTCCAAAAACCAATGCCTAGGGGAAGGTTAGCAAAATGGAAAATCATGCTCACTGAGTTTGACATTGTCTATGTCACTTGCACGACGATGAAAGCTCAACCCTTGGCAGATCATCTAGCTGAGAACTCGGTTGATGATAAATATCAACCCCTGAGTACTTACTTTCCTGACGAGTAAGTAAATTCAGTTGACGTAATTCCAGAGGACACCAATTCTAGGAAAATGTTCTTTGATGGAGCTATAAATGCAAAAGGTGTCGGGATTGGGGCAATTTTGATTTCGCCCACTAGTTAGCACTACCCGGCCATAGACCGACTTCGGTTTTTCTGTACAAACAACACCACTGAATATAGAGCCTGCATTATGGGTATGAATATGGCAGTTGACATGGATGTGGAAGAATTGTTAATCATGGGAGATTCTGACTTGATTATTCGGCAAGCTCAAGGTAAATGGGAAACTCGAGAAATCAAGCTTATCTCATACTGGCAACCTGTGGAAGATCTTAGCAAACAGTTCAAGTCCATCGAGTTCAAGTATATTCCTCGATTCCACAATGAGTTAGCTGATGCACTAGCTACTTTGGCCTCAATGCTGCCGTATCCGGGCAATGTCCATATTGACCCGCTGGAAATCCAAATTCGATAAAGACATGGTTATTGTAATGCAGTTGAAATAGAACCAGATGTTCAACCATGGCATCGTGATATTAAAAGATTTTTGAAAATAAAGGAATATACCGAGCAAGCTAGTGGAGACCAAAGAGAACCATTAGAAGGCTCACCAGCAACTTCTTCTTGAGCGGATAAGTCTTGTACAAATAACTCCGGATTTCAATCTTTTGAGGTGCGTAGATGCCCAAGAGGCTGGAAAGATCAAGAATGAAGTGCATTCGGGAGTATGTGGGCCACATATGAATGGATATGTCCTTGCAAAAAAAAACCTTCAAGTAAGTTATTACTGGATGACCGTGGAAGAGGATTGCTTCAATTTTGTCCGAAAGTGCCATCAGTGTCAGATACAGGGTGACCTGATTAATGCACCGCCTTCAGAGTTGCATCCTATGTTAGCACCTTGGCCATTCTTCACATGGGGTATGGATGTCATTAGGCCTATCGAGCCCAAAGCTTCGAATGGGCACAAATTCATCTTGGTTGCCATTGATTATTTCACAAAGTGGGTGAATGCAGTCACTTTCAAAGCCGTCACCAAGAAAGCGGTGGTGGACTTCGTGCATTCCAAAATTATTTGTCATTTTGGTATTCCTAAAACTATCATTACAGATAATGCTGCAAACCTTAACAACCACTTGATGAGGGAGGCAAACAATTTAAGATTACGCATCAGAATTCTACCCCTTATCGGCCCAAAGCTAATGGTGCTATTGAGCAACAAACAAGAATATCAAGAAGATCCACAGGAAAATGATTCAAAGTTCTAGACAGTGGCATGAAAAGTTACCTTATGCATTATCGGGATATCGCAGAACCATGCACACGACAGTTGGGGCCACGCCCTATTTATTGGTTTACGACAATGAAGTCATAATACCTGCAAAAGTTGAAATTCCCTCTCTTCGAATCATTGTTGAAGCTGAGATTTAGGATGATTAATGGGTCAAGACCCGGTTGGAATAGCTAACTATGATTGATGAAAAGCAGATGGCTACCAAAAAAGAATGGCTTGTGCCTACAACAAGAAAGTACAGCCTAGAAACTTTGAAGTGGGGCAACTCGTCTGAGGCGTATTCTCCCATATAATGAGGAAGCAAAATGAAAATTTGCTCCAAATTGGAATGTTCTGTATATTGTAAGAAAATTGTTGCCGAAAGGAGCACTGTATTTGGGAGACATCGAAGGAACTAATCCCGAAACAGCTGTCAATGTAGATGCGATCAAAGGTATTATGTTTGACCCATTTATGTGATTTTAACGCTTTCTAATTGGGATGATGAAGGCTTTCATTCCCACTACCCAAACACTACCAACCTTGCAAACCCATTGAGACGGTTCCCTTTTTCTTTGATTACCTTATTTAGAGCCAGGAAATTGTTAAAAAACAATAAAACAGAAAAAACAAAAGAAAATTAAAAAAAAGAAAGTTCGTTGAACTACGTTTGACTTGATTTCGAAAGGATACATAGGAAGACTCTCTCTGGGGTTCAGTCACACCAAAACAAAAATCCAAATTCCCCAAAAGTGAAACTGCTGCAGATGTTATAATGTTTCGACGATGATTTCGCCCGAAAGGTGCCAAAGTTTTAACTCATTCCAAATTACTTTTACCCAAATCCTTTTTAAGTTCTTCTGATCAATCGGCAAGAATGTTCAAGAATTGGAGGATACAATCATTGGGATCTAATATAATCAAAATGAGAGAAATAAAATAAGAGTGTCTTATCGGTGAAAACCCTCACTGGCACCTTAAGGCGATGGTAAGAAGAGAAATTGAAATGAGAGAGTCTTATTAGTGAAAACTTGCGAAGAGCACTACAAGGCGACGGTGGAAGAGAAATGAGAGAGGTTAGCTGGTGAAAACCTGCAAAGGGCACCATATATCGAAAAGAGGATCCTCATGACCATTCGACATCAACAGAATCCTAGCAAGGTTTCTTGGTTTGAAAGCATAAGTGAGGATGAATTTCTGAGAGTTGGACGTTTTACATAGATAAGGCATCCAGTCCAAGAGGCATTTCATGTTCATTGAAGTCGGAATGTACTCCAGATAAGTCTTTCTTTCCTTTCCCCGAAAGGGACACCTCTCGTCTAAGTTCATTTGTCTATTTCATTGTTTGCTTTTCTTTGAATCCTTTTCGGTCTAATTTTGTTCTGAAAATAAGACAAAGAAAGGATGGCAAGAATGAATTACAAGGTTTTGTCTTATACGAGCCAATATCCAGGAAGGCACCCAGCCTCAGCAGGTGCATCAAGTCGACTCCGACTAGTCATGATGGTCGATACTTTGAAATCAAAAACTCCTGAAAAGAAAGTAAATCAAAGTCAAATGCCTACGAAGGCGAAATAAAATCGAAAAGGGTTAATTCCATGTGATTAACCATCACGGTAAAGTTCTGATAAAGCCAAGTTCTCTAGGGCCAGAAATGAAATCGGTTCTCAGGGAACAAGCAGTGGCAGTTGAGGTCTTCATCAAAGAATTCAGGCCGAGATCAAGTTACTAAAACACTCAAGGCCACAAAATCAACCACTGTTTCAAAGTGACAAATTGTTCTTTGTTTGAAAAAACAAGAAATAGGTGCAATCCAAAAGCAACCTTGCAAGAAGCAGGTGCAACCAAAAAGAAACTGCGCAAGGACTAGAAATAGCTTTGCAGCAATAACCCAAAAAGGGAAGTTTCCTCCAAAATTCTTTCTCGCATTTACTCATTCTCTGAAATAAAAAAATGATGATGAAAATGATTTAAAAAAAAAAGAAGAAAAGGTTCAAATCATGGTAGTATAGGGTCTCCAATACCTAGCTGCATTTTTCCAACATAGGGTCTCTAGTCCCTAGTTGATGCCAGCATAACCTGATGCCAACATAGGGTCACCACTCCTTAGTTGATGCAACATAGGGTCTTCACTCCCTAGGTGATGCCGACATAACCTAATGCCAGCATAAGGTCACCACTCCTTAGTTGATGCCAACATAGGGTCTCTACTCCCTAGTTAATGTCAGCATAACTGTTGCACCCCATATTTTCGTATGTAGAAGTACGCCAGAAATAAATTGATGAAAGCTCGAAAATGAGATGTTACATCCCATGTTTTTCGTACGTTAAAACTTCGTCGTAAGTTAATTGACGTAAGTTTAGGAGTGAGACTATTTTAAGATTATAAGCATTATATGCTATTTCAAACAAGTAATGAGTAAATTCGTGAAGGTCAGAAGGTAAGCAAATCAAAGAAAATGAATTTCATCGAAGTTTGACATTATAGGATAAAATACGGCCTGAGCTAAGATACCCCGTATTTATGGACTAGTACCAGACAAGGTACCACATGACTATGATAGTGAGTATATGAGGTATGTTATAAGTGAGTGGTGTTTTAAGTAATTTGAGATAATTCTTAATTATGTGGGTAAGTAGGTAATTATTGATTAATGGGGGATTAACAAATTAACTAAAGGATTGAGTGGATAATTATTGGATAAGATTTGACCCCTAATGTGGAAGCCATATAAAGATCAATTAAGTGACTGATATGTCACATTTCAAGAGGGCATACTAGGAGAATCTTGGGACTTAGTCATTACCTAAGTGGTAGTAACGTGATATCTCAAAAAGGTTACCAAGGGAGACATGTATAATCTTCATAAGCAATGTAAATTGCTTCAGCAAATTCATCCAAGCATTTGAATAGTAGTAACGTGATTTTCTTAAAACTAAATTCATACGAGACTTCTTAGCATAATAGTAACGGGATTTTGAAATTTTAAGGGAGTACGGTGCAATCTTTCTCAAGAATATCATACGAATTTTACCCTACTTCGATCTGCCGTTATGTGTTGTCGCAATTGACGTATGTAAGAGGGATTTTCAAGTGAATCGGCTCAGGTATGTTAAGGCTATCCATTCTTTCTTTTTACCATGATCCGCACGATACAAGCGAAACGAGCAAATGCACAACTTCCATAAAATGACTCTATTCATAGAAATGCTAGAAATGTTTCTGTCCTTGATTCCCCATATGTCCTATTATTTTATCATTTGTTCATGGGTCTTAGAAAATACGTATGTTGATAAGGTTTATTTCATGATACTAATCAGAGGCATAATGGTCTTATGACATTCCGAAAGATTTTATTGACGCACTTTCTCATGCATTGCATTCCTTTATACAAGTACATTGACCCATGACCAGATGGTGTTATATACACGTATATATGTATATTATATATATATGGGATATGGGAAAAGGTTACGATATTATATACGCACCACCACTTTATCAAATGGTATACGTTGATGATTTTGCCCATAATGGCCGAGATGATATGTTGGGATGCCCTTAGAGACCTGATGATGTTATGAAATATGTACCTATGCACGGCATAACATTCATACGCATATGCATGACCCTATAATTGTTTCATGATTTACAGAGTTATCCAGGCTTACAGGTTGAGTCATTTACTCCATGTTTCTTTCATGTCTTTTATATACTTATTTATGTGCCTTACATACTCGGTACATTATTCATACTAACATCCTTTGTTAAGGAGGCTGCATTTCATGCCCACAGGTTCTGATAGACAGGTCGAGAGTCCTCCAAGTAGGCCATCAGATCAACAGAAGATGTTGGTGCGCTCCATTTGCTCTAGAGTTGCTTGTTTAGTCAGTATGATTTAGACGTGTATTGTTTGTTATGGCGGGGTCCTGCCCTGACCTTTGTGATAAGTATGTATTCTTAGAGGCTTGTAGACAGATGTCATATATACGAATGCTTGTATGGCCTTGCGGACCTATGTTTTGAGCTTACAAATGATCATGTTGGCCTTATAGGCACGTATGTCACATATATAAGTTTTTATGTCTTGTTGGGTCGTTCTATATTGAGTATTCCCTTATGTTTATTCTGGTTAGCCCATGACGGCCCGTTTGACACATATGCCAAAGAAAGTACAATAATAAAGATATGTTATGTTGGTACTCAGTTGGGTAAGGTACTGGGTGTTCGTTGCGGCCCACAGGTTTGGGTCATGATAATAACCTAATGCAAACATAGGGCCACCACTCCCTAGTTGATGCCAATATAGGGTACCCGCTCCTTAGTTGATGCCAGCATGACTTGATGCCAACAT